GGGTTTGAACCGCCAGCCTTCTGGTTAGCAGTCAAGTGCCTTAGCCACTATGCTACCAGAGCTCCCATTTAATTTCCCTAATTAGATTTAAAGTAAATATGTGATAATTATTTATTAATATTGTACCACATTAGGATATAAAGGACATCTGGGTGTCCATTTGTGATACCAAGATTGACAGTTGGAATGGAAGGTGACAGCCTAATCACTCACTGTCAATTTAGACTTATCCTTACAGTTTACCATTAGTCATTATGGGTGGCAGGTTTGATCTGTGTTCCCTGTCCCAGTGTTTTTTTTTTTCTGATTTTGATATTACTTATATTTATAAATAATTGCTGCTTGATGGCATTAAAGAGCTTGCACATTCATTATATACCCCTAATGTGGAATATCCAGGTTACTTTATTTTTTGTTTGATATTTGGTTAATTAATGGAAGTCTCGCTTAACTTATTTTCTTTCTTCTCAGTCTACTTGCTAATGGATTAATCCATTCATTTTCCTATTTTTAATTTTTTTAACATTTTGTGATTTGGGTGAAAGTTTACAGAGCGAATTGGTTTTCCATTCAACAATTCATCCACATTTTGTTTTATGACATTCATTGCAATTTCCACAATGTAACAGTACTCTTTCCACTTCCTCCCTGTGTTTACCATTTTCATTCATCCATCTTTCTTATCCCTTTCTGCCTTCTGAGCTTTGTCCCTAGGTAAATGCTGCTCTTTTGATCTCGTATGGTTGATTGTTCTAATGAGGGCATACATCCCTGATGTTATTGTTCAATTTATAGGCCTATTGGTTGGCCTATAAAGTTGAGCCATGGAGGTGAGTTCATTTCCAGGCCTGCCGGGTGTCTAAGGGCCATAGTCTTGGGATCCTTTTTTTTGGTGGAGTCTTTTCAGACCATTTCCAATATCAGATGTTTCATTATCAACACTGTTACCCTTTCTAATCAACCATAATTATCCTATCTCCTTTACATCTTCACTCATAAAAACAGGTGTAACCCTTTCCCCTTTTGGGTCCCAGGACTTCTCCTGCCTTTCTTCATTCCCTATACTCTGTTACCCAATTTGTAAACATATAAAAGCTGTGTACTCATAGGATATAGTTGTGTCCTTGATAATCCAGTTACCTCTGTTTTATAAGAGGTGATAGTTGCATTTATTATTTCTCCTCAGATTGTAAAAGGGCTGACAATGAGCTTTTCACCTCAAATCAAAACCTGAGAATAGCAAATCCCATGGCTTGGCTTCAGAGAAATATTAAGAGACCTGTCCCAGAGAACCAATTTTCAAGACACTTCTGAATCAGAGAGCTAGAAGGGAATTCAGGAAATACAATGAGAGATACTCTGAAGTATTAAAGACAGATTCAGTGAAGGAGGGAATAAGCATTGAGAGAATTCATAAAATAGATGTCATCTACATAAGAAATCAGAGAAAAATGTTGATACTGTTCTTATGTTATATATCTGCAATTTTCAGGTGAAAAGATTGCCTACAAATGTGATGCACGTAGTAAACATTTAAGTCACAATTCAGACTTTTCTCAACACCGCAGAATCCACACTGGAGAAAATCCCTTTGAGTGTAAGGATTGTGGCAAGGCCTTTACCTTAAACTCCACTTTTGTTCAGCATCAAAGAATCCACACAGGAGAGCGGCCCTACATGTGCAAAGAATGTGGCAAGGCCTTTAGCTGCAGCTCCTACCTCACTGCACACCACCGAGTCCACACTGGAGAGAAACCTTTCAAATGCAAGGACTGCAGCAAGGCTTTTAGTCAGAAAATTACTGTCATTCGGCATCAGAGGACACACACTGGAGAGAAACCCTACGTATGTAAGGAATGTGGTCAGGCTTTCAAACTAAACTCACAGCTCACTTACCATCAAATGCTGCACACTGGAGAAAGTCCCTACCGATGTAAGGAATGTGGGAAAGGTTTCACTTGGAACTCACAACTCCTCCGGCACCAGAAAATTCACTCTGGAGAGAAAGCCCATCAATGTAAGGAGTGCGGGAAGGCCTTCAAGCAGATAGCCAGGTTAAATCAACATCAGCGCATCCACCCTTGTTGGAAACTCCGTGAGTGTAAAGACTGTGGGAAAATCTTCAACAAGATTTCAGGATTGAAGCGGCACCAGACACTCCATGTTAGAGAAAAAGATCATGGGAAAATCTTCATGCAGAACTCAAATTTTATTCACCATCAGAAAATTGATCCTGGAGAAAAACATTCAAATGTAATTGTTGGTCTATGTGTCCCCCAACTACAGCTTAGCAAGCCTACCCCTTCTTGGTCTGACTGTCATGGTCCAGCTATACCTGCTGTCCCTCCCTGTCCCCAGAGTGCTCACTCTGCTCCTGCTAATCCTCCCTATTCACTGTCTGCCTCCCATACTATTTCATGTTCTACCTCTGAACCTTTGCTTTTTCTGCTCCCCCAGATGCCCTCTCCTCTTCTTGCCCCCTTTCTTTAAACCCATTTTGCCTTAAGACCTTTTGAAGCTTGCCTCTTTGATGCATTGACCCTGTGTCATTTCTACCTCTGCAGAGCAGGTTAGGTCAGGAATATCCTCAATGGATAGAAACAAGAACAAAAAGAATTGTATGTTCTCTCAATTTCTGTAACTGTACCTATGAGTTACTATGTACTGTTGGTTAGGTATCTCCATTTTATTGTCTACTATTGGTGTCACAAGGAGCCCTGATGGTGCAGATATTAAGTGCTGGGCTGCTAACTGAAAGGTCTGTGGTTCGAACCCAGCAGTTGCTCATTAGGAAAGAGATGAGGAAGCCTGCTTCTGTAAAGATTGTAGCCTTGGAAATCATATGGGCCAGTTCTACTCTGTCCTATAGGGTTGCTATGAGTTGGAATCAGCTCAGTGGCAGTGGGTTATTGGTGTAACTCTTAAGTTACATCCTAACTTTTAGATTTTTGTTCTTTAAAGATGCAAGTTACTTTCTAATGGGTAGATAACCACAAAGTTTATGGTTTTATTGACCTGTAAAAAAATTAACCAGTTTTGTTCCTGACTTAAAACAATAAACAGATAACATTTCAGTATTCTTTCCTAACTAACCTGTTCTCAAATGCTTTATTTGCCATGCTGCTTTCTCATTAAGGAGTTAAATAAATTTTGGCATGTATCATTGTATGTGTATTTAAATACAAAAATAGAGTCATGTTTATAACTTTTTGAAAATTATACTTTGACAATTTTGGATGTTCCACTGAGATGGCCAAGTCGACTCACTTGCCAGAGACAAACTGGCTTTTCCTCACGTTATTTAAACCCAAGTGAGTCTTGTCTTGGGTCCTGGAGTAAATCCCAATTTTCACAAAGAACTTTATATTTGTTTACTCATTGTTTTTTTCTGCAACTTTTCTTTTTATTTTGTTGCTGGCTCTTGGTCACAGTATTTAATTATTTGTGTGGCTAACAACTGGATTGCAGCCCTGTGAGAGACTCTGAAGTAGAGGATCCAGTCCATACTTAGACTCCTAACCCATAGAAGCTGAGGTAATAAATGTGTGCTGTTTTAAACAACTAAATCTATGGTCCTTGGGAGCTCTGGTGGCATAGTGCTTAAGGCACTTGACTGCTAACCAGAAGGTTGGTGGTTCAAACCCACCAGCCACACCTCGGAAGGAAGGTTGGGCAATCTACTTCCATAGTGATACCACCTCGGAAATCCAAGGAGGGGTCACTGTGAGTCAGATCCAACTTGACGGCACATAACAGTAACAGATAACTACAGCTCTCTTCCCAATCTCTCCTCTCTCTCCCATTTTGTTCTCTATTCAGTATTCAGTGGGACTGTGATTCAGTCTGAGGAGTAATTAGTACAGTCAGAAATGAATACAATATTTGAAACTGCTTCTCATTTTAGGGAAAAGGTGAGAACTTCTGGTAATAAGTATATTTTTAGGTGGAAATACAGAGTTGTTCAAATGTTACAGAGGAGTTCAGATGTTTGTATAAAGATGTATATGAAAATTGGTTAATAAAAGGGTTAATATGGAATTTATTGCTAAATTTATCCTTGGTTACCTTATCAATGAAAATGGATATGGCCTTTTAAATATTCTGTTAGTTGCATGTTATTAAGCTTTGTCAAAAGAGGGAGCTGGAGAGAAATTTCAGGGGTTGGGGACTCTCCGTGGTTCCAGTGGCATGTTTGCCAGGCTCCTAGAAAGAATGCTTTTTTCTCCATTGCTCCATTTCTTCTGTGCTAGGCACCAGCCGCTCCCTGGAAGGAAGATGGGGCAATCCACTCTGTAGTGATACTGCCTCAGAAACCCAAGGAGGGGTCGCTGTGAGTTGGGTCCGACATGAAGGCACATAACAACAACAGGTACCTGAAGGGCACAACTTTCTACAACATTGGAATACCATGTGTCTACTTTAGTTCTTGACTGAACCAGTGGTAGATACGAGGGAGTCCCAGGTGGTATATAGGCCTATCACAGCTCAGGTTGCTCAGCTGTGTCACTGGTCTGAGTGACACTCCTATCAGGAAATTTCAAGACTTTAAAGATTATGCCTCAGGAACCAGGACAAAGGCCAGACTTCTCTTTGGAGTCTGGGTTCCTTACTATACAATTGGGTTGCAAATATTTTCTCCTTGACTGTCTTATGCTTTAATTTTCTTAGCTGTGTCTTGAAAAGCAGACATTGTGAATTTTGATGGGAGTCCAAATAATCATTTTTTCTTGTATGGATTGTGCTTTTGGCGTTTTAGCTAAGAAATCTCTGCTTACCCTAAGTCATGAAGATTTTCTTTCTTTTTATTTTTTTTTAAATTTTGGTGAAAATACACATAACAAAATATAACTCCCACTCAATAGTTTCTACATGTACAGTTCAATGACATTGGTTACATTCTTCATTCTCATTGACTAAACCCATATTGTTTCATTGCCATTAACTTAGACTCTCTACCCCTTAAAGTTCTCATCTGTGCTTTAGAGCTCCTATTGTCAATTTGATCTCATAGACAGTTATTTAAAAGAGTGCATGTTCAAGGCAGACTCTGTTTTCTTCTAGAAGTTTTATAGTTTCAGGTTTTACATTAAGCCTGTGATCCTGTAGAGTTAATTTTTGACATGGTACAAGGTATGGCTTGAACTTTTTTTTTTTCATATAGATATTCAGTCGTTCATGCACCTTTCATTGAAAAGATAATGCCTTCTCCATTCAGTTTCCTTTGCAGGTTTGTAAAAAATCAATTGGTAGTATATGTGAATCTGTTTTTGGAACTCTGTATTCTGTTATATTGATCTGTATATGTATACTTTCTCTAGTACCACATTGTCTTCACTACCATATCTTTATACAGTCTAAAAATCATATATTTGAATCCTACAACTTTGTTCTTTTTCAAAATGGTTTTGGCTATTTTCATTTTCCAAATGAACTATAAAATCACCTTGTTTCCTATCTTGCAGCTTGGGTGTGTCACTGTTAGTTATTACCTATCCATTCACTTCTGCTTCCATGTTGTTAGGTGCTGTTGAGTTGGTTTTGACTCACAGTGACCCTGTGTACAACAGAATGAAACAGTGCCCAGTCCTGCACCATCCTCACAGTCAGTGCCATGCTTGAGCCCATCATCACAGCCATTGTGTCAATCCATCTAGTTGAGGGACTTCTCCTTTTTCACCGACCCTCTACTTTACTAATCATGCTGTCTTTCTCCAGGCACTGGTACATTCTGACAATGTGACCAAATTGTTAGAGACAAAGTCTGGCCACTATCGCTCCTAAGGAGCATTCCAGCTGTACTTCCTCCAAGACAGATTAGTTTGCTCTTCTAGTAGTCCACAGTACATTCAATATTCTTTGCTAACACCATAGTTGAAATTCATCAATTCTTCTGTGGCCTTCCTTAGTCACTGTCCACCTCTCATGCATGTGGCTACTAAAAATACCATGACTTGGGTCAGGTACACTTTAGTCTTCAAAGTAACATTTTTGCACATTAACACTTTAAAGAGGTCTTTTGCAGCAGACTTACCCAATGCAATAAGTTATTTGATTTCTTGACTGCTGCTTCCATGGTTGTTGATTGTGGATCCAAGTAAAATAAAATGTTTGACAACTTTAGTCTTTTCTCCATTTATTACAACATTGCTTATTGATCCAGTTGTAAGGATTTTTATTTTCTTTATGTTGAAATGTAATCCATACTAAGGTCTGTAATCTTACCTTCATCAATAAGTACTTTCAAGTCTTCTTCACTATCGCCAAGGAAGTTTGTGTCATCTGCATATCGCATGTTGTTAATGCGTCCTCCTCCAATCCTGATACCATTTTCTTCCTCATATAGTCCAACTTCTCAGATTATTTGCTCAGCATACAGATTGATGCACACCTTTCCTGATTTTCTGCTTCCATAGAAATTGATAAACTAACTTACCAGTTGCCCCAAAGACAACTGTGACCAAGTGACCTACTTCTGACCATTGTGATGAAGTGTGCATGTCTCTGGCCATTTCTCCTCTACATGTAGGAAAGCAGGTGCCTCAGGAGTTCCAGTACTCAACTTTTAAACCCTCTACTATTTCCTGGGAGTGGTTGGGCACAGAAGTGTTATCCAGTGGTGTGCTCCAAGAGTAGATGGAGACTTATGTGGGCCCTGAGCTGTTTCTCCCCTTAGAGGTACTCTGCAACCTTTACCCAGTGTGTGAAGTCAATTAAGTGCACTGAGGAGCTCCATAACTAATACCTATAGAGTTGCCCAGGGCCCTGTGGCAGGGCCCCAGTTTCAGGATAGCAGCTATCATGGTATTTCACAGGATCAATGAGGTTGGCCCACCAGAATGGTGTTGACACTGTTGATTCGACTCATAGCAACCCCTCCTTGGGTTTCTGAGGCAATATCTCTATGGAAGTAGATTGCCCAATCTTCCTTCTGAGGGGTGGCTGGTGGATTTGAACTGCCAGCCCTCTGGTTAGCAGTCAAATGCCTTAGGCACCATACCACCTCCTGCTTTTGTTTGTTTGTTTCTTGCTCATGTCAGGCACAGAATGAGTTCAGGGGTCTGGGCTGCTATGAGTATATTACCAGTCCTTGTGCATGAGATGCATGTGTGGGCCCATGTGTCAGCTCTTTCCCATCTGTCTTCTAGCTCAATACCACCTCTGATCTATGCACTTTAGGGCATAAAGGTGGCAATAAATGTTATGTCTTATGCTCCCCACTGTTGGCATTTAGGGTGGGCAGCCTACCTCCTACA